TTTGCCCCCAAAGTCCCAAACTTATATAACTAACCGGTAAAAACATGCATTTGCATGATATGAAAGGCTTTAGTGATGAGCTCTTGAGGTCTCTTTTATTGCTCTTTAATCGTTATAATCATTGTTTTCAGTTTTATTACTTATTAAAACGATTATTGAGTGAAGGATTACGTCATCTTTTCCAAAGGTTTTCACGATTTTATAATTGAATACAAATTACAATTAATTTCGAGTTTGCTTTTGAGCGCAAAATGACCAAAATTTATGTAAAAAACAAGTGCATTATGATTAAAGTGGTGTTTTATTGCTTTTCTAATGACTTCACAATTAATTCAATTTAAATTATTGAAACATTCATTGATTTTAATGTTTATAAAACAAAACTCATTTCAAAACTGAGTTCTCGTGAAGAGTTATGAAAATTATAATTTAGTTGTAATTAAAAGTGAATGATGTTTACGTTATAAACAACGGAATTGACTGAAGATTGACAGTAATCCTAATTGTAATTGATTTCCACAAGTCTGTGTCTCAACAGAGGTTAATGTTATCCAATGGCTTAATTCCAATGTTCTTCTCTGGCAATCTATGGATTGTAAAACCCTTTTCTAAAATACTGTGCGAAAAATTGAATTTTCAAACTTTATTTATTATCAGAACTAATGATAAGTTTTATCTGAAAATGCAGTCAAAGTGTCCTTCAAATCAATTTGCGATTAATTTCGCGAAAATGTTTCGTTTTCTATGTTTCGTGTGTTTTATTTGCGGCGAAAGTCTTCAGCAAAACATCGTAAGCGTCGGCATTGAGAGCGCGATCATCAATGGATTGCGAGAAACGACGCGCGACGGCAACGAGTTGAACGTGTTTCGCGGCATTCCGTTCGCAGAGCCGCCGATCGGAGACTTGCGGTTCCGGCGACCGCTGCCGAAGAGGCGGTGGCCGCGAGAGTGGGATGCGTTCGAAATGAGCGCTAATTGTGTGCAAAATGCGAACATATTTGGCGTCGAGAAGAGTGTCACGAATAAGAGCTTTTCCGAAGACTGTTTGTATTTGAACGTCTGGTCGCCGAACAACGAGAGCCCGAAGGCTGTGATGGTTTGGATCCACGGCGGCG